TATATATATATATATATAGTTGTAAATTTTCATAAATGAAATATAACTTCTTCAGTGTGTAATAAATATAGAGGAACAGTAAAACCTGTGTTATCCAGCACATTCGGGGATTAGGGCGTTCCAGTTAAAAACCTGTGTTATCCAGCACATTCGGGGATTAGGGCGTTCCGGTTATCTAAAAATTCTGGTTGTCTGAGGGTCCCGCAACCTAGGAAAAACTAATGGACAATAATAGTAAAACTCAAGTTTGTAATATTGGTAGTTTTGTAGTGTGAGGCAATTGGTCTCACATTCTATTTTGAGTTAAAGTTGATTAGTACTTCTTAAATAAAAAATTGTTAAGCCAATCATGGTAAACCAAGCCAGGCCTGTGTGCATGAAGATGTGACAGTATTGTGGCTGGGGGCAATGCTGGTTAACAAAGTTTTCTGGCTAACAGAGTGCCGGATAACAAAGATTTCGCTGTAATATTATTTATAGATGTTCAGAACCCCTTTTCTAATGCATAATGAAAACTACAGTATCGATACTGAAGTAAAGCATCTCCAAGGTACCGAGTGCACTGGCTTAAGCTCTATTCCCGCAATTCAGTCTGCATAGAGAGGTATTTGCATCCATGATCAGGAATCCAGTTGAGGTCTTTATTTCAGTAAGAGGTCTCTCTCACGTACAGAACAGCTTGTAATATCGGGCCACATGGGGCATCTGACACACAATCAAAATGCAAGTCTTGTATTTCCAGAGTCTATCTGCAGTGCATTTTGGGACATCTCTTTATGAAAGGCCACAGTTCTCAGGTTTTTTTAAACACATACTGACTGAGCATCCCCTCTTCCTACTGCATCAGGTCCTTCTTTCCTACACTAAAGAATTGGCATGACATAGTTTTCACAAGCCTTTTACCCACCACTGAGCTACTTCCTGTTCACAACAAACTCTGAGTTCTGCTTCATAGTTTGGGTTTGACTTTATTCTTATTATTAACTAAAAGGCCTCTACAGCATCAGGAAAATCACTGCATAAGAAACTTCCAACCTCAACAGCTCTATTCAAATGTCTTTTCTACCTTATTTTGGCCACAACCTTCAGTAGCACTCACCCTACGTTATTAGACTCCTGCATGCCAGTTAGAGCCTGATGGAGTGTGCTGGAGTGCAGCTCAGGCTACACCTTTGAAAGGATGTAGTGGTGCCGTGTTGTAGTTCTGAATTGCAACTGTTGAAAGCCACGGCAATGCTGGCGTGGTTAGAAAAAGCAGACTTACAAAAACAAGAGGAAGAGATTAGAAGAGGAAGAGACAATGTTCTGAAATACCATATATTCTGTAACACTCTTCACTTATAATAGCCACCTGTCTCTTGAACTTGTGTCTGGCATCTCACTGCCTTGTTTTCAATAGTGCACGTAGACAGCAAGTTTGCTGAGGTAGGGACCTTGTTTGTGACAAATCACTCACTTTTCAGTGCTTTTCTCACTTCTGATACTTCAAAATATGGTGATAGGAACTAGAAGAACAAAAAGCAAGAGAGGGAGGAATGGAAGGTCGGAGAAAGAGTGAAGAACATGTGATGTGATAGGGTTATTGTTGAGAAGTAGTGGTCATTATCTACAGAATATAAGGAAAGGGATGTCAGTGCAAGGCCAATCTATTTTCTTCTCACTGTGCAAGTCACACCTGTGATTCCAATCATGTACTTCATTTAGAATTTCTTTATTAATACATTTATATTTAACAAACTGACATGCAGCAAACCACATTTAGAATGCACTACTCATAGACTTCTACAATCACACAGCTGCCATACAAAGACTGATTAGAAGGAACGTCCTTTTGGTAACACATCACACTGCAACCATGCCCTTTACCACCAAATATTTCTCCAATGTTATTATGTTTTTATATTTGTATTCCAAAGGCCCCAACATAGCATAGGGACCTAAAGTATTAAGAACTATACAAATAGTGAGACAGGGTCCCATCTTAGGCAAGACTGACAAAGGGGAGGAGAGAAGGGAAAATGGAAGTAAAGGAATTTTCCAAAGGTATCAAAAGGTCAAGGTTAGAATTAGGAACAGAACCCTGATCTGTTGATGCCTTGTTCCCTGCGCTATCTTCTATGCAAAGTGTGGGGAACCTCAGGCCTGGGGGCTG